ACTCAGCATCCCTGATTCAGCACGTCATGTGAAGTAAAGAATAATCCGATTAGAATTGTAAAGTATCACAAAGCTAAAGAGATGATAATGAGACTTTTAAGCTGCTTATTTCTATATAATATAGTCTTAATAGACTCAACTAGCTAGGATGAAATATAATGGAGTATTACACCCTTCATGATGAGTTATATTCTACTTTTCTACAACTTTTAGGGCCAATGAATTCCTCAAGTGCCATGATACATGAAATTAGGGAAAATTTATTTACTAAATGACATAAAAATGAATGGAGTTTTATATGCTAATGAATGAAGACTGGCAATGCAGTTTGCAGGGTTATTTTGCAAGGTAAGACAGCTGTGTGGACCCAATTACCTTCAGTCCATTGTCTCATCCAAAAAAACTTTTTATACCAGCGTCTCTGATTAACTGTATCATTGAGAGAAAGAAACAGGGTTAAAAAATCTGAAGATATCTTAGAGTAGAAAGTTTAAGACTTCTTACACCCTGCTGTTCTGTGACATTTTTTTCAGTCACAAACTCTAACAAATTCACAGTGTGACAAAATGACCATGAAATTGATGTCTAGACCGACACTGTCATCACCTATTTTACCCATTGTTTACATTTGGCTTATAAATCTACCTTTAATAGTATATACTAGTCTATCCTAACATTAGTCATATGAAGCTAATAGTTGGTATACAGGGCTTAAAATTTAAACTACTTATATGTATTTTCATACTAATGTGATAAGGGGTTGAAAAAGGACAATGGACCGACTTACAGATTCACTGACAGTGGCATCAGAATAATTCTAACCTTGACGAGGATTCGAACCCATGGCACCTTATGGTCTACCAACTTGCTACCAACTGAGCCAGGATGAACAAAACTTAAGTTATAGCAAGCTAGAAGGGAGGTTATATAGGTACTATCTTGACTATAAGATGGGTACAGTACCCCAGAAAGAAAGGTTGTCAACTCATAGGTTTTGCAATACAAAATATCTGATATGTATTTAGCCTAATCATGACCTGGAACCAAACAGATGACAAAGATAGGCTAGTCAGGAAATACCAAATGTAATTGAATAAACACAATCTTTTAAAAACTAAAAATATTTCTGATCAGGAAATACTCTGCCATTTTAAGCATGATTCAGATTTATTTTAACTTTAGAGAAATACTATATCTGTTTTTATTTTGATAGAGAAACTTCTCTAAATTTCGGTTTTTCTAATTTTCTGCTTTTCTAGTATCTATAGATATACTGAAAATAGAATGTATTATGGAGAAATAGAGATGGACTGAGCTTTTACCCAACAAAATTATAGATATGCAAATATATAACTGAAGTCAAAAGTATGCCCTGAATCTAGATCATAAAATGATCAAATGAAACCCTAAAAAAAATAAACTAAACCCCTGTTTTAAATTAGATGATACAGGTATATGACTCTAGATATCTGATATCAAAACTCAAAACAGGTAATAAATAAAGGTAGCTGTATAAACTGAATAACAACAATAATAGGACAATGATTATAATAAACCATCTGTACATATATCAACTAGACCATGACAATATACAGAAGGCTATAAACTCCAGTTAATATGCATACAGCACTCAATACCCCTCATATAATAACACAATAAACTTGTCATATATGCAAAAAATCCAGTATTGTGTAGCGCGAAATTCGCTGAATATTACCTATAGCCTTTGAAAATGCTGATGTAATGGTTTTAATCAAGTATTTTTGGTCTTATAGGAGCCATAATGGCAAACGAAAGATTGCAATATGCATACATAGCTAGAATACTTTTCAAATCCCTTATGTAGAACACAGATTTAAAAGTTCATTTATTTCATCCTTTTGTGATCAAGAAATCTCTTTACAAATGATGAAAAAATGATCACATATCTCAGATACAAAATGTTTGTTTTTTAGGGTGGAAAAAGGTTTTTCCAAATCTGAAGCATCATGACTAAGATTAATCACATAATTCACCCATAAAAAACCTTTTTTACTAGACAACTAATAACAGAATGAACCTAATGAAATTATCAACTGACAATGAAACCCCTATTATGTGATTAGATAACACCTTTCATCTCACTGTCAGCCCCTAATAAACTAAACAAAGGATTTACTATCACTCCTATCAGAAAGGGATTTGATATGATTACCTTAAAGGACTTGCAAAAGGAGATAGCTATGTCATAAACGTTTAGTTAGAGTGGACTCACAGATGTCTGATTGAAAATTGAAATGTTGCAAATCAATGCTGTCAAAATCCCTGATTTACATATAGTTTATAAAAAAACCTTTTTACAATTCATTAAATGGATTGCGCATTGATTGGGCTTAATTTCAAATCCAATCAAATTTTATATTTTCATCATCCGTATTGTATAACTTATTACTATAAAAAATTCATAAACTTGTAACATGTAGAAACATTTTTAATTGCATTTAAATTACACTATCTCATGCCCTATTATATAGAACCTAACTTGCAAAGTCTACATAAAAAAAATTCTTGGTGTTGGGCTTCATTAGGTTTCTTTAACTACTCCATTGGTTACGAATAAAGTCTTTGAATGGCATTTAGCAATTGTGAGTATACAGCTTTATGGAACAACTTTAACCAGTGAATGTTGTTCCATAAAGCTGTGTCTATATACTCCATTGGTTCTTCTAAAACTTTAAACTGCTCTATTAGTATTAGAATGTATTTGATATTTCTCTCAGCTCTATCAGTGCAGAAAGGGTTCTATCTGCTCTATCAGTATATAAAAGGTTTAAAGCTGACCCCTGTAATATAACCTGTGAAATTTAACAGGGTTTAGGGTTTTAGTAACAGTATCTTTAGCGCAGGCGAGATAATGGTTTAAAGGAGGCCTACCACATGGTTTATTTCTGACTTGGAAATTAGGGAGAATTGATCTCTCGCCGTCATATTTTTTGGGAGTCTTTTATAAGAGAAAATTTCTTATTCTTCATAAGGAATAGGATTGCACAGTACATAACAAGTTTGGCTTCTGTTGTCATGTATAGGTGATACAGAGCTGCGGAAACTAATTTTCTTTGCCAGGAAAAATAATTCCTGATGCAAAAGGCCAGTGTTTATTGTCCATTTTTTTCTCCAACCTCTTTATTAGACAACTAAGACATGTTCCTCACTATTTCATATCCAATCACGCTTGACTTTTCAATTTGAGACACTTTTAAAACAAATATGGTGTGTAACTTGTGGATATACCAAAATGAAACACATCAGTTTCTCTGTGGGACAGGCTCTTTTACTACAGGTGAGATGCTGTGGTTTGATGAGATATAATCCACTTATCACACAAAAAATAATTCACACCTGGATTGATATATAGTCTGACAGTTGATGATAGTGAGTTAAAAACAAAAATACTATCAAAAACACCAGCCATGGTATCAAAATTCGTTTAAAACATTTACACCTGGACTAACTGTAGTTGACGATATTTAACTTCAAACAAATATGATTATCGAAAACACAGGCCATGGCGTCAAAATTCATTTAAGACAGATAAATAAAACTCACACCTGTGTTAATATCTAATGACTATAATTGACAATGAAGCAGTCAGGGGAAAGAATTGTTCATAAAATCAGAATTATTCTCAAATAAAACGGACATAAAAAATTGTATTACAATTCACACCTGGGTATGTTAGCTAGTCTGCTTATAGGTCCTACAAGGTTTTTACACAGCTTGTTAATATTTTTTTGATTTCTGGCCTGTATTAATATAGAGCAGACCTGAAATATACCAGTATATGTATTGAGTTTTATTCTGAAAGAAAACATGTGCTAGGTAATTGTTAGGTTTATGAAATTTAAGTGTAAAATATATATCTAATATATAACCTTAAAGATGTGAAAGTTACCACTTATGAAAGTTAAGCTGCCCTATTGTCAACTAATGTATTACAGTGCTGTATATTGGTACATACTGATGTAAAGTATTGAAGTTATATTGTAGTGAGTCTATTAAAGGGAATGATACGCTATCTGTATAAAACTGCAACAGTTTGCTTTATACTAAATTGAGCCCATAGCTCAGAGACAGGATATATATTTCCACAATTTTAAAATAAAAAGAAGTCTTTATAGATAAGTAGTGGTATTTTACTGTATGTACTAGTCATGGTATCAATTTGTATTGGCCTATTGTTACGTCACCTATATAAACCTTAATTTCTAAATCAGATTTATCGTGATTTATTAAAACCATGAACAAGTTTTTTCTCATGAAAAGAATTAAAACAAGATCCAAAGATGAAATAGGTATCTTTTCAATATTGTCATGTAAATTCTAACAACAGCTTGATTGTAAAGTGATATATTGTATTTTGAGTATAAATTCTGGTTTAATGGTTTGCATGACAAATACTGTTTCCTTTTAAATTTTAATGACATGTAGTTAATGATACTAAGTAATTAAAGCTGAAACTCGAAATGGCAGTGATGACATATAACAGTGACAACAGTGACAAATGACACTTACCTGTCAAACTTCTTAACTTTTCAATAATAATCCTTTCTTTCTCATTATTATTTTCATATTTCTTTTTAGTTATCAAAAGATATCCCGTATAACACGTTATCACACAATATACACTCAAAATTGAGTAAGCTACCTTTCTCAGGGTTACCCTCATTTTCCTCACTGACACTGACAGTGCATTACAACTGCCCCATACTGATATTGCCCGGTAAATACCGTTATATTCATCTCCTCGTGACACAGTTTACAACAGGTGCCCGCCTCCAATCTCTTATTACTACATTGATGACTGTTTAAAAACTTCCCATTCACAATAATAAAGTGAATCCGATCGAAATATCCACATAAGATAGAATGTGTTCGCCCTTTACTAACTTCAACCTGGAAGTTCTTATTGCTAACCATCCATCATGTCACATGACCTGCACGCAGATAACTCACATTTCAAGATGGCGGCGCCCAGTCAAAACGTGGAAGAAGACGTCATATTTTGTGACATTGAAGCCACTGTAGCGACTGGATTTGAGCAAACTGCAAGAGAAGAGGTTATAGAAAAGCTAGGATTTGATGTCAGGTCATCGCGAGGGAAAATAACCATCAGAACGCCTATTTCTCAAGTACCAAGAGTAAGTCTTCAGTAAATGATATTGAAGGTCAAGGCCATCCATCAAAATCAAATTGAAATTGTGAAGATTTTTATTTTCACTGAATTCATGTGTGTTTAGGCGCCAGTCTGATTTATTTTATGGGTCAATGATACATTAGGTTCAAGGACTTTAAAGGGACAGGTACGCCATTTTGGGGGGTTGATTTTAGTCTTGAAAATATGTAAATACTAAATAGTCTTTGGTTGGATGCACTAGAAATGTACCAAAATCGCATAATTCCTTCAAAAATATCTAAATCTAGGAATTTTACTCACTATTTCTATGTATGTATTTTCTATATATCACAGTGTATGATGAAATGACGAGTTGTCATTTTAATGTTCCAATGCAGATATTTCATAACACATATCAATTTGAATGCTCAAATTTCAATCTTGAGCTGTGAACATTATCACTGATTGACCTGTGTGTACTCTCAGTGTCTGCTGAGGCTTCTTCATCTTATCTTTATCTTTGATTTTGCTTTGTTCTACCGATTGCAGAGTTTTGTGCTGCTTGCTAGTTGCTTCTTTTTTCTTGTGTTTCACACTTTTTCATTGCCAATTGGAGAGTTTCTTACATTTTCATAAGATTCTTATTCTCAGTGATTAATGAATGATTTTTGTGTTTAGAAGCCTTCTTCTATTCCAGATTTTGACCCTATTTATTCATATGGCATACTAGTAGTTTTTACTCCATTTTATGTTTTGCCAAATAGAAATCCATTAGTTTTTTCAACTTTCTTAATTTCAGATATTAAAGTTAGGAACTATTGATAATTGTAGAGTTGTTATAAAACATATCAGAGGATTTGAGTTTCCTAAAGATCAGGTAAGAACCGGTTGGATTTATTATGGAAAGATACTAAACTCTAGGATGGGAGAGCTTATTAACTCATATTAAACTCAGCCCTCTACACTTCGTCAATAGATCAATAGAACTGATATGAGGTCAATACACAACAATACCTTCCGTTTAATGATATAAGAACACTATCTTTCCAAGTTTATATTCCAAAGGAAGGTTTTTTTTCTCTCTGATTCAATTCTAATTTGAAAATTTTATTCAAATCAGAACATTTAATGACTTGCACGCTGCTTTCGTTTTGTTTACGTTCCCAAACATAGTGTCATAATGAGTGATTTTTTCTGATTGGTGGAATTTTACTAGCAAGACAGCAGTGACCAATTTTGATTGGGCAATGCTCATGAATTTAGCTATGAGTACGTAATTTTTCACACTTGTATTACTACTGTCTTGAGGGAGTATGACGAATGAGTAGTATACTGTTTCCAATATCGTAGGCATTCTAAGGATTGAACTAAAACCCCTTACAAGTGCTAAAGACCATACATGGTTAAACAGCATAAGGGGCTGTAGCACTTTCTGAGTTAAAATGATGGAGAGGGGTCTTGGTGGATTTAAAGTACATAATTGGAAAAGAGACTCACCTAAAGTTTGGTAGTCATTTCAAAAGTGAAGCATTGCCTCCATTATGATACAACATTGCAGCCAGTAACTTAATCATAGGAAATTAGGAACTGTTCGGAGCTATCTTTATTTATACACTGTTTTTATCTGTGTTGTTTAATATACCTGCAGACTATTAATACAGTACAGTAAGATGTAAAACTTTTCCAGTGGATACTATATAGTAACAGAATGATTTCCTACTTCCTAGTATTGATAGAAAATTTTATATGTATGCATAGTTATATAATAAACTACTATTATGGATCTTTAATTTAGGTAACGTTTCAATTCGCATACAGGAATCTTTTTCAAGCAATGTATACGAATGGAAAGAATTGAAACGTTGCCTAAATTAAAGAGGAGTAGTATATCCATAATAGTAGTTTATTTATATAATGTTTTATCTTCTCCTAAATGTCATTCAAGGATTGTATGCATAGTTTTCTTTCACATTAGTTGTAGTCTGAATTGTTTAGAGTTAATGAAGGGTTATCTCCCATATCATTGAAATTACAGGCTGAAAGTCTACAGAGGGTAAGAGAACTAGTAAAAGACATAGATTGGCAGCATGGTATAGAAGTATGGAATAAGGTTTTTAACTTTGACCATCCAATAGATGCTTCACATGCAAACGCCTCTGGTAATATTGGAACATCAGCTACAAAAGACAAAGAAACTTTGCAGAAAAAATCCAAAGAGAAAAAGTCAAAGAAGAAAGGAGGAAGAGGAAAAGATAAAAAGAAGAACAAGGAAAATAAAGGTTGGTGAAGCTATGAACTGGCTAGGTCCCATTTTCACATACAGAAATGTGAGCAAAATTAGTTTTGAAATTATAACATAAAAACTAGGAGACTTAGAATGGATTTTGATTGTTCACTTTTAACTGGTTAATAGACATTTGTTACCAAACAATGCGTGAAACAAAAAGTTACGCAGCAATGTAGATAACATGAACAGTTTTTTTCTTCAAAGACTAAGTTCATGATTCCTGATTGCTTTAGCAATTCATAGACAAATGAGCTAGTTTCTTTGAATTTTTTATCTGTCTTTCACATCAAATGGGCTGAAAAAATGTTAAAAAAGAAACATGTCCAATGAAACTTTTGTTTTTAGAAAATGTCTCGGATGGAAAAGATTCAAGACAGAAAGAGACTACAGAAAAATCTGACAGTCCAAGAGACGAAAGTGATACACCAGTGCTGGAATCTGGGTCAGAGAAGGAGAGCCATTCTGAAACATCACTTACCAAAGATGCTGCTCTAGAAGGGGCTGGTGCCACTGGGTCCAAGAAAACAGACGCAACTGATGGAGGGGAAGTGTTAAATGCTGAAGATCTCCCAGAAGATCAAGTCAATCAAGAGATAGATGAAATACCAGAAAGTGAACGAGTTGTGGTAACAGAAAACATGAGTAAGCCCCTCAAAGCAGAATCAGATCTTTCCAGCCCAGAAAAAACTCATGAACCAGAATCAAAGTCTGAAGATTCTGCCAAAATTTCAGAGAAGCTTCAAGCGAAATATGAACATGATTCGACTAAACCTAAATTCCGTGTGACATGCCATCGAGTTGGAGAATGCCATAAGTTTGATTCGACTAATATGGGGGCTAATTTTGGTGGAGCTATATACACCTATTTTGGTTGGAATGTCGATCTAACCAAGTTTGATATTGAAGTGATATTGAATATAGATTGGGATGATGTAACTGTGTGTATTGGACTGACGAAAGAAAGTCTACATAAACGTCTATTGACTAATTTTGGTATGACAACTCTCAGACCTACCATAGCCTATAATATGTTAAGGTATGTCATCAGAATTTTAATTAACTTTCGCATCTTGGGTAAAATTGCACCCCATGCGCTACAGGCTGTGCACGTTAAAGATCCCTCGACAGTTGGAAATCGAAAAAGAGCAGGCTAATGCCGCTGTCCTGGCAAAATTTCCCTCATTGCACCCAGCATGGCGTTGCCCATCTTCATAAGCCCACATGGTGCAGAAAAGTAGGACGTAAAACTCCATTCATTGCATTTCATTTGGGTATTATTGCAATCTAATTGAAATGCAGATCTAGATGCAAGATACTACACTGCCATCTATGATCTGATATGATCTCTATAATAAGTCAATTAAACAGACGATACATAACATTAGTCTGAATACTTACTAAGTTATCAAAAGTTTGTCATATTGATTAAATCTTTACTTGTTCTCACAACTTCCATTTTGATAGAACGGAAGAAGAGGTTTGTTGTCACTGCTGTCTTATCTCCTAATATAAGATTTGAACAACATATAGAAGCGAGGAGCACATATAACAAAACACAAGACAATATTATGGAATATAACACACTTATCAAAAAAGTGTGTTATATTCCACAATATTGTCTTTTGTTTTGTTATATGTGCTCCTAATATAAGTTTTGACCTATTTGTATTTGATCTATTTGTAGACTATGTGAGATTAAGTGTGGAGATGTTGTATGTGATCCAATGTGTGGTAGTGGTAGTATACCAATATCGGTGAGTCTCCAATGAACCACTCAACAAAATGCAAAATTTCATTCCTTTTCCATTCATTCAAAAACCTGAATCGAAGCGTGAAGATCCTTCCAAAGTTTCAGAAAAGCCTGAATCAAAGTCTGAACTTTTTTTGGATAGAACATACAGCACAGAACAGTAGTATATTAAAATAAACTTCACATATTTTTCAGGCTAGTGTATCATGGCCAAGAGCTATACATATGTGTGGTGAGATATATGGTAAAGCTATTGAGAAAACTCAAGACAACCTGGTTACATTGAATGAGAAGAAAAAATCTAATAATAGGTGAGAACAAAGTCTATTTCTTATAAGTTATAAGATTCATCAGTTTTATATCATCAATGATAAGGGTTGAATCAGAATTTATCTATTTTATTAGATGTGGCTGTAAACAGTCAACCTTTTACGGTACATTTATTTAATCCTTTATTGCCTTCTACAACAATACGATAATTGGTGCTTCTTTATTTAAATTCTACATACAATGTTTACACAAATGACCCGCAGTGGCTTTGCTAACTAAGTGCTTATACACATACTTGGGCATAACACCTTAAGAGTTGTTAATCTGTTAATACATGGATGTAGGTTGGAATAACATTGAAAAAACAATTAGTGTTTGGATCGTCAATAAACCTAGACCTTTAGCACATTAAAGTTCATTGAACAGTGAACAGTTGAAAATTAAAAAAGGCAATGGCATGGCAAATCGTCTAATGTTTATGTGTCCTTTTCACTAGCAAAACAATAAAAAATGTAAAGAGTGATATTAAGGAAAGATATCTTAAAAATGTATGAATATTAAATGTATTTCAGACGATTAGTAGACCTAGATATCTACCAGTGGGATGCAACACGGCTGCCATTACGTGATGGTTGTGTGGATGTCTTTATTACTGATCTAGTAAGTATAACTCTTTCATTTACGTCTCATAATTCTATTATCTTGCCCTTCCTATACAGGCCTAATGATATAGGTGGTATATAGTCTTTCAATATGGTCCTTATGATGTCCATGATACAACCCAAAATATCTGAAATTTGACATTATCAAGTCTTTCAATCTGGTCCTTCTGATGTGCTAGATACATGTGACAGGATGTTATAATTGACAGCATCTAATCTCATACCTAGTTACTATTTTCTGCAGACTTGGTGTGTTATTAAATAGTTCTAATTTCAAGAAAAGAAAAGATAATAGCTATGCTGTCTTGGAAAATAATTGTGTTCTCCTTGTGTAGTTTATTTTGGAACAATATATAACACCATTCTGAGTTAGTACAAATTGATTATTTCTATTGTGCAACCATATTTAATTTCCTTTTCAGCCATTTGGAAGAAAGTGAGTATTTATTTATTTTTCATATTTTCACCCGTTCAGTTAATATTATTGGATATTATAATCAAATATTTGGGTCAAAAATCATGGCTAAGGGAGGAAAAATGAAGCTTTTAAAGTGAAGATTGTACTTCAATGTGGTTTATGTTTATTAATAATGGTAGAGCCAGAGATACAGAGGACTCTGTCTTGTATCTTGAATTTTTATAATTTTTCTTCCTCTAAAAGATATTAACTGCCTTAGTTAATGTGTTTAATCATCTTTGGATGTGGAAAAGTGTCTTTGTTCAACTATATCATTAATTGAATATAGAATCCTTTTTTGGTCTGTATTAAAGGTTTGGTAACAAGATGAATAATCAGAAGTTATATCCCCTGGTATTAGAAGAACTTGCTAGAGTCACTCGTAAGAAAACTGGACGTGCTTGTTTTATAACTGAAGACAAACGCTGTATGACAAAGGTAATATTGGTTTGTGGTTTTTGTATTTCATGGAGAAGTTTCTAGTAAAGGACAATAAACTGAGCCCCTGTGTTTTACATGTTCATAGCAGTAAGCGTCGAAAACTGACTCATGTGTTATGTGATGTACACAATAAGATCCTAACAAAGTTTCTATCACTGTACATTGCATAGTATTGCCAATTTTCATTTTCATTTTTCAAGTTCTCAAATTCTTGCTTTCATTCTCTGAAAAGGTTTTTGATGCTGAAACAGTGCAAGTGGAGATATTTCTAGATAAGCAATATGTTCAAAAAAAAATTCGTCCCTTTTCTGCCTGAGAAAATGTGACTCCTACTAATCTTTTGAGATTAATATATTGATGCACAGTTTTATATTTAATAAGATCCCAAATTGTGGTCTGCAGCACTTTATTTGCTACTTTTCATTTTTTTCAGCTGATCCAGGAATCCATTTTATGGCAAAGAAGAAAAGTTCTGGCTATCAATATGGGTGGAATAGATACCGCTGTGTACGTACTGCATCGAACTGACGAGGATATCCCAGAAAAACTTCCTCCTGAAACCCCAGAAGAAATTTCACGAAAGCGTAAGGACATGGCCGAGGCTCAGTCAGAATCACGACGAAAATATCTTGAAGATTTAAAGAAGCTGACTGGAGGTGGAGGAAATGCCATGAAGAATAAAGAAAACACTTCACAAACTACCAGTTCAAAGCCTTCCACCAATGAATGTAGTTCCCAAATTTCTGGTACCAATATAGCTTCATCAGAATCTTCAGCACAAACCCATGAAACTGGTTCTCCAAGAAAACGTGCCAAAATTGAAAAATCAGAATCAGAAGCCCAGACCACAGGAAAAGCTGAAGATGAAAATACTTCGGTTGCTGAAGGCATCATTCCAAAATATACTGAAACAAGATCTCAAACAACCGAAACCAGTTTAACCACAGCTGAAACTGGTTCACAAATAGAAAAGCATTCCTCTACAACCGATTCTGGAATCCAAGCTGAACAAGAAGAGGTGGCTCAGGTTAACATCAAAACTAGGTCACAATCCAGCGGGACCAATCCAACTCTCTCTGATCTCCGAAGTCAATCCACAGAAACAAACAAGACCACAGCTGAAACGGGATCTCAAGCCACTACAACTAGAAACATTTCTGTTGACACTGAAACACCGTCCATCCAAGTTGCTTCCAAAGGGACAGACTCTAAAAATGTTTCCACGGAAAGTGGAGTCCAAGCAGCATCAGACATTCCGAAGGTTGATACTGGTGTTGGACCAAACGAATCTCATGGCTGCCACAATCAAAATGGCTATCAAGAATCTCAATTTGATCTCCAAAAATCTCCTTATGACATTCCACTCCCACCAAGAACACCATCAGAAATTCCTCTTCCCCCGCCAACACCTTCTGAAATACCCCTTCCTCCTCCAACTCCCTCAGAAGCTGCAAGCCCACACAAAGATGTTCGTCCAAAGTCACTTGCCAAGACTTTAAATCTTGCTGAATCTTTCCAACCAGCATTTTCAATTTCAGAAGAGTCACAAGCAATGGCAAAAATAGAAAACAAAGATGGTGGCAAATCTCAAATAGATGCAGACATCAATGATTCAATGAAAGGTATCTCTCCATCTTCAGCTAAGAGTAGAGAGTGGAAACAAATATGGTGACAATCCACAAGAAGATGCTGAAAGCAAAGATTCTTCCAACGATGTGGCAGCTTCCAATGTAGAAAAAGGTGCAAAATGCAATGAAGCTTCCAAAGATGCAGAAGGTAATCCGTCCATAGAAGATAAATCTGACAAAAAACGTTTAGAATTGAACAGAAATAGAAATGATAGCTTTGTTCATATCAAAATGCCAGAATATGCTAGTTGTGTAGATACAGGGGAAAGCCGTGCCAAATCCTCGGTATCCAGTGTAGGGGAGGAGTCAAATGAAATGTCAATCAAAAGTGATAAGAGTGAACGTGAGAAGAAAGAAGGATGTTATCTGTTGTAAAAATCAAATCAATGAGAAACTGAAACTATTAGGAGGTAACTTGTTATGGAAGAGAAGAGCTGCTTTTAAGACTAGTTAATCCTGTGATTTGACTTTCAAACAATTGTGTTGTGACAAACATTTACATGTAGTGTACATTCGTGGTTGTGTTCAATTTGCCTCACTAAAATTCTGTTTACCAATATTTGCAATGTTCAGTTCCTGTTATCTGAAACATAAGTTTTTAATCATACGATTGGTTAATGTTAGCAATATTATTGACCAATCAGATTCTAGAAACATACAAGGTTGTAGAATCATTAGCTACCTTGAATTACCACATTTGATTAAAGTTAATTTTTGATAATTTTTCTTCAGAGTTCAAAGTTTGAATTTGTAAAATTATAAATTTGATATTTTTTTTTGTTATGTTCAGATATTATTTTGTATAATTATTTAATTTGATGTAGTGCTCAGTTATTTTTCTAGTCAAAATATTTTTTTCTGTAAAAAATGTTTTTGTTTTCTTTGTCAATATTGATGTCTCGGAAACAATTCACATTCTTATGATTTAACCTTTAAACCTTTGAACACTGTGTGTCCTGAAATATAACTTTGTGTGCTCTCATCCTGGTTTGAAACTAGATTACATCAACTCTTCCACTTTAGATCTAAAGAGGACAATGCTCATGCTCGGAGGAAACAGCCTGAGGACACCCATCAAGTTTATTAGTTTAAACTTGAGAATAGAAAGGGGTTGTTAAGATGTTTTCATCATTCCAATTTTCTGTCAAGATGTGTATGGTTCCTGTAATCGCAGAAATACAAAGAGACAGATGCACCTTTTTTTTTACCAATCGTACCTTAGTATCGTAAATGGAAATTTTTTAGCTAAGCCAATCAGTAAAAGTGTTCACAGCTCATCGTTGAATTTTGAGCCTTCAAATCCATCTGTCTCAGAATTATCTGAGGTTGAAAGTTAAAGGAAGAGTCGTCTTTTCTTGAGATGCTGTTAAAAAAGAAAAGACATCTATAGAAATAGGAAAAGAAATTCCTAGTTTCAGATATTTTTGAAGGAATTATGCGATTTTCTTATATTTCTAGTACTTCTGAAGACATTTACATTTATTCAAGACTCAAATCACCCCCCAAAATGACGCATCTGTCTCTTTAACCATATATATGATGTCATTATCACTAAAGATGCTTATATATCAAAAGGCCTTTCTGATGCCTAGTTTTGAGTGAAATTGCAAGACCAACTGACGTGAAAAATGGTACAAATCGACACTATTAAGTTTCCCCAATGCACAAAAAGTTTTAAAACATCTTAAACTCAGCCAAGGGGTCCAATTCATTTGAGCTGATCTTCACAAAGGTTATGTATGATCCATGTGACAGGGTAATTGCTCTGTTTCCAAAGGCACCAATAAGAGTAAAGTACAAGTTAACTATTTGAAACAATAAATTTAATTTTTGACAAGATGACAACAGTTAAGATTTTTAACATAATTTCATTTCAATTTGGTTTTTGCTGAATTTTTGACTTTTGTTTACATAACTATTAGGACAACAAAGGATATCTAAATTGATTGGTCTATAGAACAATCTTGATCACAGTATGGCATTACAGAGTCCTACTGTGTAGATTTGTTATAGACCACAATTATTTGATATCGCAACATTAATGCATTTATGAGAGGAACACCATTTGCAGGGCTGCAAAGATGATATAGCTTTAGGGCCTGGTTGTAATTAACGGGCAAGACAGGACAGGCTTGGTTACTTCGGTTGAAATATTTGTCTTTTCATATGGACCGAGGAAGTATTGTTAAGTTTGCCACGTTGGGTAATAAAGTATACTGCACACGTGTGATGTGGCTTATATGAATACCAGGCTGGTGCTGAATGCCCAGCTTCCAGGTCTAGTCCGCTTTCCTTATAATTGCCTGGTAAATCCATAGAAATTGACTTCAGACCTGAGATATCCGACAAACAGGGACAATCACCTTGCCTGTCACATATATCCCGGCCCTTAGAAAGAATCTTTGATGAAGTCTAATTCCTGTTAATGTTTGACTAGAATAATGAACATTGACAACTATTGGTATTTATTGGCTCCAGCCTGTATGACCTGATTGTTAAAAATGAAAAATAATTTTGTTGTTAAGTTGTCCCATCCAATTGAAAAAATAATTCCTTTTCGTCCCATAAGAAAAAAAAATTGTCTAATAGACAAAAAGATTAAAATATCATAACTGTTTTTATTCCCAACCCATTCAATTATATTTATCTTTCTTGGTCTCTGAATCTTCTTCAACCTGTTCCGAATCATTTTGTTCATCCGTTTCATCAATCTGTTCATCTGTTAATTCATCCTCTCCGATTGGTTCATCAGTTTCATCCAGTTGCATTTCATCATCGAGATCTGTTTTTTCTACAATTTCGAACTCATCTTGCTCACTCTTGTCACTTCCTTCCTCGGCCGTCTGATCCTCGTTATTCGAGGATTTTGATGTTTTATCTTTTTTAGTCCTTGATTTCGTGTCGTCTTTTTTATCTTTTACAACAACATCGTGTTTATATAAAGGTTGAAATGATTCTATAATTCCCACATCCTCTGTTAAATTGGGTAAAAACCAGAAATGATGTTTTCCGAATGTAACACACCAAATTATACAGAATAAAATAAGACGAACTGAAATGATAAATATTATATATTGATAAAATATCATTTTAACATGATAACTAAATTTACTGGAAACAATTGATTCTGAAATGCAATTACAGCTCATCTTATGCTTTTAGAACTGAATGTCAAGTGTGGGTACCAATGTTAGAGAGAGTATGTGCCAAATTACCAGGAATTTTTTCCTAGTTCTATCCTTAAGCTACCCCCAAAAGTGACTTCACAATTGGTGTTAGTGTTAGGTGTCAGTGTTGGTGTCCAAAAACAACAACACCATGTCAGGTGTTGACACCAACTTTGAAGTCACCCAATAGCAGTACACTGGTCATGTATCATCAGGTGTTTCTATAAGCAGACATTATCAGTGGACCACTATGCAATATCAGTCAACTGGAGGCAGATGTTAACTTAATTTTGTGGTGTCAGTTGTTTCTATAAGCTATTGATGGACAATCATAGGAAAATAATCATCGATTAATCTTAATATCCCGAGAGTCATATTCGATAATTGAAACACACCACATGTAAACATGCCAAATGTACACAATTAAAGGATTTATAAATTAATTTCATATAATAATCGGAACATCATTCCAATAAGCAGACATCAGTGGACCACTGTCAGGTTAGTAATACTGGATCAGTGAAATCAAGCAAAGAGAAATTTTTTACTTACCAACAGCTAAACCAAGAATTAACCCAACAAAACCAGCAGCAGCTAAACTAATATAATACACACCCACTCTTACAAACTCTGGCCACAGTGGAAACATACAAAGAGCTATAGCCCCAAACACTGAAATAACAAAATAATACATTATAACATACAGAGCTGTAGTCCCAAACACTGAAATAACAAAATAATACATTATAACATACAGGGCTATAGTCCCAAACACTGAAATAACAAAATAATACATTATAACATACAGAGCTATAGTCCCAAACACTGAAATAACAAAATAATACATTATAACATACAGGGCTATAGTCCCAAACACTGAAATAACAAAATAATACAGTATAACATACAGAGCTAAAGTCCAAAACACTGAAATAACAAAATAATACATTATAACATACAGAGCTATAGCCTCAAACACTGAAATAACAAAATAATACATTATAACATACAGGGCTATAGTCCCAAACACTGAAATAACAAAATAATACATTATAACATACAGGGCTATAGTCCCAAACACTGAAAAAACAAAGTACTATGGGTTTTGACAGGTTCTAATGAACTTTTTTCAAACCAAGCCCACTACACTTCGTTTTGTGGGCGTGGAATTGAGACTGGTTCTATTTATATTTATTAAGGTAGAACAGAAATGAAGAAAGGTCGCAGGTGAAGTAAACAAAACACTATATGATTTTTGATTTTCTGTCACCTTTAATTGTTTGCCCACAATCTTTCACACTGCTTTTATTTTGTTTACATTTGCGAACAAAGCATTTAGACCGATTTGATTGGCTCTCATTTCACTAGAAAGATTTCAGGGCCAATTTTGATTGGACAATATTTAGCTATGAATACGTAATTTCTTCTCTCCCTCGTACTACCAATGTCTCAAGGAATTATGACGAATGGGGGCGTGGTTTGGACATGATGCACTGATAGGTAATTGGTTCTTCATGAACTACATGCTGCTTAATGTGTCAAGGGTCCGTTTTTCAAAAACTTGTGCGAATAAACTTGCATGTTAAATTATTTTTGACTATATCAAAGCATTAATCTATAACGTTTACGTATGTACGTTAATCTACGATATTTTGAGAAACGGGGTCCAGAGCTCTTCCAAATTATCAGAACAAGGCATGGTGAAGACTTACCCATTAATAAACCAATGAGAAATGTTTTAAAAGGAACTGGATCATAAATCCACACATAAAACTGGTCGTCTGCATCTACAAACTTCTGATCATCATGCATGTTTAATTTCACTTTCTTTTCTTTCTTCTTTTTCTCTTCATCCTTCAATTTAAAACATGACTGGAATTTTTACAAATAAAAATGTGAAGTTAAGATAGGGCTTAAAGTATTAATGTACTTTAACTTTAATAAGAAAAATGAGAAAGTAACTAACTAATTACAAATGCAGTATATTTTCAATACAATATTCAATGTCTTCAGCAAAGCATTTGCACTCTCCTTGAGAACCTCCGACTGGGTTTCTCAACTCTTTTTCCCTTTCAAAGAATCTATAAGGCTTATCATAGTGTTTTGGGGTATATTTAATTCAAAGGAAACACTTTATTTCAACATTTTTTTCCCTTGAATAAAATTCAGACCTAAAGGTTTCATGATTTTTCATGACCATCCCTCCATCCAGTGAGATCATTCCTCCACTAAAGAGAGACATCAATGACGCCAATTTCAGTCGTAGATCACCTTGCGGTCCAACAATTCCTCCCTTGGGGAGGAGCATGGTTCTAGGTCATTCAAAAAAAAACAAAATCAGAATGTTTTTTTTTTTACCTTTTTCTCTTCCTTTTTTTCTTCTTTCTTGTCATCATCTTTTTTGTCTACTTCCTCTATCTTATCTTTCTCTGTATCAGTATCTTTCTTTCCTTTCTTTGATTTCTGGAAAAGAAGAATAGTTAATACCAGATATTAGTATCAAACACAGTAGCTCAGTGCTAAATTCACGATAGGAGAGATCGGCCATGTTGTTATAGAGGTGGTTTGCACATCACATGATGCACCACTTTAACAGTTGTAAAAGTGGTTTGTCCTACCAATTGTCTTACTCAAGTCATGCATGTGTTCTACCTTTAGCATATCACAGCTCAACTGATTTCTCAGATTGGAAGCCAACTACTAAAATTGGGTTATCTACCTTAGATTCATCAACACTTTCTTCTTCAATGTCTTTCTTTTTCTTCTTAGACTTATCTCGATCTTTTTTTCTCTCTACTTTCTCTGCTCGATGGAACAACCCTTTTAATAATAAACTGAAATAAATATGAGATATGGTGTAAGATGGTGATGAGAACATAGTTTCATAAAAGCACTGGCAGAGGTCACAAAGGAAAGACCAAAGCTAAAACAAGGAGCAAAATTTAAGAACTAATCTTAAAGTTGAATCATTTCTGGTAAAACATTAGAAATATATACTGGTATTTGAATGGTAACTTCACATTATTTATATATCCCAATTGTCATACCCCTTAAAAGAGGTCCTGGCTGACTGGAGGATTAAATGTTCTATGCTATTTTAAAAGTGTTAAAAACGAAACAATCCATTAGAAAGAGTTTCTGTATGAGATTTTCATGCCCGTGAAGGTCGTTGAGTATCAGCTTAAAGGTACTTTAAATAATATATACATTTAATACTTACTTATGACAATAGCCTTCACATGACTTTCTGGTTGTAAACAGAGGATCTTTCTTTGCCTTACTAGCAGACCATTTTGATTCTAACAAGGCATCAACAGCTTTGGATGCTGAAATTAAAAAATAGTACTGTAATGTTGCAGTTCTATAAAGAATAAGCTAAGATCAATGTAATCTTTACACAAATTGTCAACTTTGAACTTAAAGATAAAGGTTTATAAATATTTACAGATGTATGGCAGCACATCTTGCACATGGATTAAAATTCAAATGAAATGAATGATGTTTTACATCCTACTTTTCTGCAAGATCTAATTTCAGTTATCAATTCTTATAACGAAGAAAAATGCCCCTACTTACCAATAAAACATTTGACTGGCATACCAACCAGTTTTCCTTCCCGTACAGGTACATTAAAACGTAGAAATTTTGCCACAGCATATTCTTCTTTAGTAGGAACAACTGCCTGAAAAAAATACAGAAAGGATATTATTGTTAAAGATGGGTTTCCTTGGATTTACAAATTGGTTAGAATCTAAGTTGACGAGCCACAGTGCATAAAAACATCAGGACAGGGAACTCAAATGAAATTTGGTCAGATTTGGTCAGTTAATTATACTATTAATCACATTGTATCTAGTTATTATAGACATTTTCAAAATTTAAATAACACAACTTAATGTAATTTTCATAGGTCTCTGACAATTTCAAATTGAGTAACATAGTAAATATATATTCAAAGAAAATATATTCTAATGACATTCAAAAACAAACTCTGTACAAGCCATAACTTATTAATTAATTATGATCCAGGATGTAATTAATTAGAAAAGTAGCTGAATGGTTTCAAAGGCATTGGGTCATCAAATAGAAAGAATAGATTCATAGATTTGGATGCTTCAAAGTTAGCTGGAGAACTTGAGGAACTTCACAAAATCAAATATTTTCAGACATACATACTTGGAAATTAAGAATTATTAATTACCAAAATTACTAAGAGCTAAAGACCTTATTCACATCTAGTTATTGAGACACTGAAAGCGAGGTTCAATTTTACTCCAGTGTCACACTGTTATCTGTGTTTGTTTGAGTTATGAACCTCGTTTTGGATTCAACTTACAGTCCGACTACTCCGACACTTGCATAAGGTCTATTGAATATCTAAAGAGTTTTGTTATTCTATATAACAGTTATAGGTATGTAGGCTTTAGCTTTGACAAAAGCCAGTTTCATTGTGGCAGATTTTCCTAAAGGAAAAGACAACCGCTTGTTGCTGAATATTAACAGTAAGCCTACAGTCAGGTGCACACAGAACAAAATCTAGTGGCAATCATCCCTTAAAACCATACCATATGTTGGATAGAGTTAAATAGGCCACTTACACATCAATAAGCTTGTTAGTTACATCTGTTACAGACAAAATGTGCATTTCATAATTTGACACAGAATCTGTGTCAAAACAGCACAAAATTTGAAAAACAAAAGAGGAAATTAGGATGCCAGTACATTATTTATCAAAGTTCTAAAATAAGCCTATTCAACTGTCTGAACAGTGAAGTGAACAGTATGAAATCTGGCACAAGAGGATAAACCAATAGAAAATTTAGTTCAAGATTGAGTTGAGAAAACTGAAATAAAAATTCTATATTTCATCGGACTGCTTTCTACACTGTAAATGCCAGGAAACAAATGAAATGATGGAGTCTACAGGCCCACGGTTCTATACTTGACTGGGCTATCGGTACTCTTATAAATGGAGTTTTAAATTTTGCACCTTAATGAGATGAGGTGGAATTTTATGATCTCTAGTTAGTAGTTAGCTACCGGTAATGAATTATTATGGAGTTATGTATTATGCTGTTTGATTCTTAACTTAAGGTTAGGTAATAAAATGTCAGAAACAAGGCATTGCAACAAGGCAAGACAAATATAATAAAAGTTTAACATTCTTTTTTAACCTTATCTGAGTAGATTATGTTTTTAATTTCTTAGTAAATCAAAATTTATTAGATGTAGAACTAGATAAATAAATAAAAAAAGAAATAAATAATAAAAAGTTGATAATACGCCATATTGAACATGTTTCACGGCTAATATCAATTTTACTACGATTAAAATTTGGGATCAATCTTTGGACAATCAATTGAGGTACGTTACATCTTGTTTCTTCAGAAAAGTATGGTTAAGTTAAATGTTTTACCTCTTCTTCTCCTTTTCGTTTACGTTTTCGATCCGCCATCTTACGTGGCTTTCCTAGACTGGCCTCGTTTTAAAACTTGACCCACTTCCAGGGATTCCCCAATTTTATGACGTCATACTACAAAAATTAAAGCTATCATGTTGATACCAAAACAGAAGCAAATATCAAAAAAAATATCCAGGAATCACAATGACAATGAAACACAAATATTAAAGAATGTCGATTACATTATGCCACAAAGACAAAGATAAGAGATCGGAAAAATGGGTCTTTTGAATACTTTTAGATTTTTAGGCACGTCCAAAAGGCGAAGATTAAAACAAACACTATTTGTGATACTTTTCTCTGTTTCAAAAGGGGGAGACAAATAATCTGTAAAAAATAATCAAAATAGCTTTAATTACAAAAGGTAATTTCACAATGACAGGAAAGCAAAAATCTCAGAAAGTTATTAAAGACCCATGGTATAACTATGCCGACGGGCTACGTAGTTGTCAATCCAGAGTTCATCAGTATGCATGATAAAATAGGAAGTAGACCTAATATTTATGACTAGGCCTAATCAATTTTAGTAAATCGTGGCAAATCTTCTAATTTTACAGGATAGTCCAATGTTCGAGGTCCCGAGATAACTTGTCCGTTCAGTTCATCTTTCCACTGGCCAGAGGGGAGATAAATCTGTCTTGATGTCACGCCTTGGTCCATCACAGGAGCAACCAAAACATCGTCACCAAGCATGAATTGAGAATCAGTAGTCAGCGCTTCTTCATCATTCGGAGCGATCCACCACATAGGTCGCATGATGGGATCACCCGTGACTGTGGAATTTCGAGCAAGTGCGACAAATTTATCGCCATAAGATTCGTGTAAAGCTATCATGTCTCTGGTAATTTTAGAAACAGTCTCGTTTTTGAAAAACCAAGGAGTGTAAGAAAACTGCATTATTGGCATCAATGCATTGGCTTGAACCCATCGGATGTAGAGCTCAGAACTAGGCAGATTTCCATTATATCCGTTTCCACCAATATAATCCGGCATGACAAACGGGTAACCGAATATACTGAAGGTCAAGGCCGTTGTTAGAATCGTCTTGAAGCCCTCATCGTAACCCCAGGTCGAATATTTATCTATCTGTCTGACCATCACCGGCAGATCCTGAGTCTGGACACCAGTTCGAATCTCTATTCTGTTCTTTAGATCAATTTTAGAAACAGTCCTAGCGTAAGCTTCAGTATAACTATCGGGGTTTCCGGCGCCATTATGTAGTCTGTAGGGGGTTACTGGTAGATAAGTAGTCTCCCCTGCATCAAATTTGAAAGAATCGACGCCAATGGCTTGAAGTTTCTTTAACTCATCCAGATACCAATTGGCTGCAGCTGGGTTGGTAAAATCGACGACTCCCGAGTCTTTTCCATTCCACCAGTTGGTCAGAGCTGGTTTGGTGCCTAACCAATTCATTACAAGGTACCCTTTGGCTTTGGCTGTTTTAAATCCCTCAGAGTCATTATTCAAGAAAGGATGTACCCATAAAGTAACAGGTAAATTCCGGGAATGAATTTCGGCAATCATGATAGAAGCGTTGGGAAAGGTTGAAGTTTTAAAAGTCAGGTCGCCATATTTGGGAGTCCAGTTGTCATCAATCTCCAGCTGTCCAATAGTAAAGTTGTTTTTCTCGATGGTATCCAAGAAATCAATGACTATGGATTGGTTGATGTCTGCCTTGTATTGAGCCCAAGTGGACCAGATTGGTTTTCGGAATAAATCAGGGTTGGGAATTCCCGTCGGTTTCTTGAACTGGCTTCGGGTGGCGTCGTGAATTGCCTTTATATCAGTTGAAGAGCAAACAGAATATGTGAGGGACACCTTTTTAAAGATCGGATAAGCGTATGGTTTTACGTTTTGACTCTTTAGGCAAATTTGGTTGTTTTTGTTGTCGTTGATGCTTGCGAATAACGGTTGATCTTCGTCCATTGTAATAGCAGTCCCGTTAGAACTAAGAAAATATCTCTCTACAACGGACCCAAACATGTCTTGAATAGTATCGTGAGAGACATAGGCCTTCATTGGTACGTTAACTTTGTTAATTGGCCAATATTGTTTCCTCATTTCGGATCCACCGTACCAGTAGGCTGTGCCCATATCGATACAGTCTGGCTCCGAGGTTGTCTTTGAGACTGTGTAACAGGTACTCGGGGGATTTGGTCCACCTCTCGAATACATAATTATATTAAAGCTATCGCCATTCAATAAAGTAACCTCCAAACTATAATTGTTTTTATGTCTCTCTACTTTTGAAATTTGACTCACGAGCCCGATATTTATTTTCAACACTTCTTTATTCTGTTGGCTGATACGAAAGAGGGCGGAATGTTTAGAAGTCACCGAATCCTCATAGATATCCAAAAAGGATTGACCTATATTGTAAGTCCTGGGAAATATTTTGCTCATGATGAACCTAGAATCGATTTCATGACTTTCCACTAATGCCAGTAATGGAATAAACAAGCTCAGTACCACCAATAGTTTCATGGTCGACTCCTCCTGAAAGATAAAAGGGGAATAAATCAAGGAACGAATAAAACATCCCGTATATGAAATCGGGAAAAGGATAGCAGGTATGGAAAATGGTGTAAAATATTTTAGATTAGGAATCCTAGAAATTATTTGAGCCCCATTTTCACAATGTCAGTAAGACGTAGTTCGTAATAGCTTGACATTGTGAAGATGTATGAGCATTGAGCCATAGAGTTAGACTTGGACATGGCAAATTGGACCCCATTTCATTAACTCTGAAATAATTACATTATGTGTTTTAATCAATTTTTTGGGATTGTTTGTAAGCGTTCTATCATTTCAGTCTTTTCAGAATTATAGTTGTAATTTTTCTTTGCACGCAGCTTAGAACTGATAATTGAGGTAAAAGAAGTATGTTCTCTTCTTGTGACTTGGCCAGTGCTTCTATTGGAGAGCATCTTTTATAACACCCAACACTGTATTGAAACTCAGTGATATGATCCTATAGTTAGATTCGATACAAAACCATTGGAATCAGAATGGGCACGTATACATTCACACTGATTTCAAGAGAAAATAAAGCGGATTTGTGAAACGCGTATAAACGTATTTTGATCAGCAAATGAAAATTTAGTTATTTGTCAAAATAATATTACCAACTAATAGTCTATATTCGACTTACCTTTGTATCCTATTTTATAAATGTTGACCCTCCTTCTTATCTCTAAATTGCCACATGACAATTTTCACAAGAATTTAAAGAATTATCAAAATCATTGAAACGAAAATGCAAACAGGCTGACTACCAGTCCTGAACGCCATGGAAGCGGTCAGTAGAAAGCTGATTTACAGGGTCGTTTTTACTAATCCCTAATACTTTTATTTCATGGCAATAAACATGATAATTTTGAGCTTTCCCTTAGACTTCTCTATTCAGCATCGTGTCCAAACCACACCCCCATACTTCCTCGTTAATAAGACCTTGTCAAAACCCGTATTCGTGATAAGATGACTATGATTAGCATTGCTGGGTCGGTTGGCAACAGAATTCAAGATATTAGTGCTGGATTACTGATAAGGCTACTAAGATCATTGTGGTCTGAGTTAAAAATTACTGTTCGGAATGAGTCTTTCGGACTATTTCGTTTACCCACCGCCAACACAAAATTAGCTAAGATTATCCCCCCCTGATGGTGATTTGATAGAAAGAAACGACCTAGGTGAAAATTAATGTTTTTAATTCAAAATTAAAAGTGAAATATGTCGTATGTGAGCCACCGTAGCATCAGGATGTTGTTCAATTGACAAACTTTTGCTTTATCCCTGGAAATGCTCTTGCAAAACTCGGACAAAAAGCTTCCAACACACAAACTCTACAATTCTACCGAGTTATATCCTCTTAGAATGGTGGGCTATTAACATATCTGAAGAAGGTGGACGCGCTTTAAGAACAGGACTGTAAATGACGCAAAATATGTTTATCAGAAATGAAAGTACAATTTGAGATATTTTTAAATTTTTTTCCATAGATTGTTATATGACAAGAGAAAGGAGGCATTATTGGTAGGATCTTTTAACATAGCTTCTTTGATCTGCCGCTGTTCCATTATACATAAATGATGGGCGGGGGATTTGAAATGAGCAGGTGATTTAGGGGTAATCTGTAACATTCTTCGTGGGGTAAGTTGTAACTGTGTTAAGGTATACCTAGACGTATAATTATATCGCAATACAGATGGAAAGTGGATACTAGCGCTTTGAGCATGTCCTTCAGTAATGTGGATACTAGCGCTTTGAGCATGTCCTTCAGTAATGTGGATACTAGCGCTTTGAGCATGTCCTTCAGTAATGTGGATACTAGCGCTTTGAGCATGTCCTTCAGTAATGTGGATACTAGCGCTTTGAGCATGTCCTTCAGTAATGTGGATACTAGCGCTTTATAAATGTCCATATTATTATTATCAGTACAATACAATACAATTTAGACACTGGTCAAACGAAGAGTGAATCCATACAATCGCCACAATTCGGACGAATCTGACTTTGCAATTTTAAAAATCATCTTATGGTTTTAATGTAATCCTTTCTTACAGGAAATGATGAAAGCTTTAATTGTTTGTTCTGAAATAAGATTACAAGTGGTTTATTGTTAAGTTACATTTTACTCCGTGATCTGTTACAATTTACCCCCAACACGGGGTATGGGTAATTAAATCAAGCACATCTTTTACGTCTTCTTTGTAATTTTTGGCTCTCGACTCTTTAGTACAAATAGATACATACCGACCACCAATATCAAATCTTTCAGGAATTGTTGACTTCTCTCAATGTACTCCTGTATATCTTTATACTCTAATTCATCCTTGCAAGTTTAAGGACATCTTTACCAAATGTGGATTTTAACAGTTCAATTGAATCGATATCTTCTTTGGTTAACCTTTAAAGACTCGGTACAAATAAGAACAAGTTGGGACCAGGAGCTGCTAAAGCAACACATTTAACGATTTGGGTGATCGTATCATCATTGGCTACATTTGTGTCAAACAGCCCAGGAGTGTCGATGACAACTAACGTTGTTTTTCTTGTGTTTGTGACACTTTTTAGTTACAGAATTTGCTGAAGTTTGTGATGGAAAAGGGCGGTTTTTGCTATCTGTATTGACGACAATATACTGTTACACAGACTGCTTTTACCAGTTCATTACAATACGATATTCTGAAATATATCAATAAATAAACTTGGTTATTGTCATTTATATACAGCAGGTGGTTGATTGCGAAAATGGTTTGCGAGTCCGACTATAACCAGCAGAATGTATGAGCTAACAGAATCTTCACCGCAGAATTACTGCAGTTGAATACGTAGGCTATGATTCACTTGGGCTCGAACTTGAAAGGGATTGTAAAATGAAATTAATGGAGTTTTAAGGCCTACGTTTCTGCACCATGTGGGCTAATGAAGACGGGCAACCCCATGCAGGTTACAATGAGGGAAGGGAAATTTTGCCAGGACAGTGGCATTAACCTGCTCTTTTTCGATTTTCAACTGTCGAGGGATCTTTAACAGCCTGTAGCACAAGGGGCCTCGGTTTATTGTCCCATCGGAACGACTAGACGCTTAATCCATGTCAGTCCTTCTTGCCTGCCTGGTGAAAACTTTGAAACTTTGAAACTTTTTTTTATTTCACTAACGGCCTCACATGAGGCATTATAGTACGATAAGTTTAACACAATAAATATAACAAATATAAAGCTTGCACAAACATATATTCATATGAAGTTAGTGTAAGCAGCTGGAAGTGGGACATTGCAATTACGGTTACTTAAATACAGACATGACAATTTTCAAATTTAGCATATTTATTTATCTTCACTATTAACTCAGACTAATAATGTTTCTGTTGTTATAGATATGATCAGGTATAAATTTATGTCTTTTTATACTAAAGAAATTACAATTATTTATATAATGAAACTCATCACTTAGTTCTTCCTTATCACACAAATCACAAATACTTTCCTTGAAAACACAGTACCAAGATATTGAAAATCTTCTAAAACAGCTATTAGTTCATTAATATAGAAAAACTGGGTATTCTCACACTGCCTATTTTTTGAAAAAATAACAACATTGGTCTTAGCTACATTGACTTTGAGTTTCCAAGTTTTGCAATATAAAAACAAAGCATTTAATGTTCATTTTAATTCAGCAGCAGATTCCGCAAAAATAACAGTATCATCAACATATAGTAGCAAATACAATTTAAAATAAACTTCAATATCATCATTAATAAACAGTAAATGAGAAATATGACATACATCATTAAGACCATCATAAGCATGTGATAAGAACTCTGTCAGATCATTAAGAAAAATAGAGAATAACAGAGGGGAGAGATTTTCTCCTTGTCTGACTCCTACATTGGAAGCCCAATATTCTGAGAAATTATTACCATCTCTTACACAAGATTTACTATTTCCATATAGATTCTGTACAACAGTAAGCATTTTGCCACCAATAATATCTTGTAACAGTTTTTGCCATAGCAGCACTCTACTAACCGAGTCGAACGCCTTCTGAAAATCTACAAAAGCACTGTATAACTTTTCCCTTCTGAATAAGTTTAGATCAATGAGACATTTCAAATTAAAAATGTGGTCAACAGTACCATAACCCTTTCTAAATCCAGCTTGCTCTTCACATAACAAGCCTAAACTTTCAATGTACTTAAATAGTCTATCATTTAGTATACTGGTAAATAATTTTCAATATAGGATATATATAACCCTTAGCCCAGGTATCTAGTACTATACCACTTTCAAAAACAATATTAAAAATGTTCACATAAACGAGTAAAAGTCTATTATCTGCATGCTTAAGAAACTCATTGAGTATCATATCCTTACTACTAGCTTTATCATTTTTCACTGATTAGCTTTACCTTTGTTACCACTTAACAAGTACCAATATAATTTAGGGTCTGATATACGCAGACCTCTAAGTTTAGTCAGAAATGCCTTTTGATACTGACTAAATTCTTTGGTTTTTTTATTATTTTCTTGTATTCTTTACTTTTACAAACCATATTTTTATGATTAACAACTGAGCGTATGCTATAATGATATTTGTTTTACCTGATGTGCTTTATGTTTTACATAACATTCACTATTAAAATATTTCTTACTATGAATATATTTTTTGTTACG